CTGTGTCCTGCAAGCCTGACAATACAAGTCACATCCAAGTACGGGCTTGCTTTGCTCCTCGCCTCAGGTTCGGGGCCGGGAGAACTTTGAGATCCTGATGAAGATAAAGGAAAGTCTGGAGCTCGTGGAGTTAGTGCCGCAGCAGCTCGTTGATTCCTATCGGCAACAGCAGCAGCAGCTCCTGCAGAGGCAGTAAGTACTGCGACCGTATGGTCCATGGTCACCCAAGGGCTCTCCAGCCATCAAAGGCACGGCGAGGCCTCACAGGGAGCCAGGAAGCTGGCCGGGCCCACCCTGTGGGTTCTTACGCTTGGTAGAACTCTACCGCCTTCTAGAGGGCCCCTCAATTCGATTCCTCCTTGGAGGTCACCAATGTTAGGTGGAAGAAACGGAGAGACTTTCATTCTTCTCTCTTGAATAGACTTTTCTCCCTCCTCGTTTATTAATTGTTCCTCTGACGAGCACCTTGGGAATGTGCATCATGATAACAGAAGCCAGAAATACCCCCATATGACTCCTTAACTCTTCCCTAGCACGCTTCAGCCACAGCTCCCCCGACAGCGTGTAAAACGTTGGGCAGTCTACCAAATACATTAATCGAGCCCAAGGCCAAAAGAGACCACCGTGATCATCTAATCTGACTTCCTGTGTATACCGTGGGCCATAGACCTTCCCAGAAATAATTGCTGGAGAAGATCCGTTAAAAAAAATCCATAGAATCATAGAATCCTAGAGCTGGAAGAGACCTCAGAAGGTCATCAAGTCCAGCCCCCTGCTCTAGGCAGGACCAATCCCAACTAAATCAACCCGGCCAGGGCTTGGTCAAGCCGAGGCTTAAACACTTCAAGTCTGTGTCTACACTGCACCCCTTTTCCGGAAAAGGGATGCAGATGAGACAAGTCGGAATTGCAAATGAAGCGGGGGATTTAAATCTCCCTCGCTTCATTTGTATAAACAGGGCTGCCGCTTTTTTCCAGCTCGGGGCTTTGCCGGAGAAAAGCGCCAGTCTAGACGGGATCTTTCGGAAAATAAAGCCTTTTCCGAAAGATCCCTTATTCCTCTTAAAATCAGGAATAAGGGATCTTTCGGAAAAGGCTTTATTTTCCGAAAGATCCCGTCTAGACTGGCGCTTTTCTCCGGCAAAGCCCCGAGCTGGAAAAAAGCGGCAGCCATGTTTATACAAATGAAGCGAGGGAGATTTAAATCCCCGCTTCATTTGCAATTCCGACTTGTCTCATCTGCATCCCTTTTCCGGAAAAGGGGTGCAGTGTAGAGACAGCCCTAGTGAAATAGTTTTTCCTAATATCCAACCTGGACCTCTCTCACCACTGATTTCAAGTGCTCAGTGATGGAGATTCCTCTCGGGCCATTGGTAAATTGCTCCCATATGACTTACTCCCCGCGTTAGAAACAGTGATGCCTTATCTCTAGGATGAATGAATCTAGCTTCAAGTGCCAGGCACTGGGTTCTTCTCGCTCTCCCTCTGCCAGCCTGAAGAGCCCATTAGTACATATTTGTTCCCCATGTAGAGCCTTAGGCTATGTCTACACTCGCGGCTTCTTGTGCCAGAAATATGCAAATGAGGCGAAGAATGGAATATCGCCAAGCCTCATTTGCATAACTAATGAGCCGCCATTTTTGCAGAAGAGGCTCATGCGCCAGAAGGAGCTGTCTACACTGCCCCTTCTTGCGCAAGAAAACCCCACTTGCGCAATGCCGTTATGCCAATTATTTTCAGGAATAACGGCATTGCACGAGAGAGGGGTTTGCTTGTACAAGAAGGGGCAGTGTAGACAGCTCCTTCTGGCGCATGAGCCTCTTCTGCAAAAATGGCGGCTCATTAGGTATGCAAATGAGGCTTGGCGATATTCCATTCTTAGCTTCATTTGCATATTTCTGGTGCAAGTGTAGACATAGCCTTAAAGTGCAATCAAGTCGCTCCTTGGCCTTCTCTAAAAATGACAAGCAGCCCTGTGGCGCCACAGCGCATGTCTACACTGGGGAGTTATTTCGAAATCACAAGGCGAGCATCCACACTACCAGGCCTGCTATTTCGAAATAGCGACTCCTGCTTGTGACGAGGAATGAGCTTATTTCCAAATAGTTATTTCAGGAGTTGGTATTTATTTCAAAACAACCTGGTAGTGTAGACTTAGCCTTAGAGACTAAAATATAGAGAGAATCAGGAGCTTTCATGGGTAAAACCCACTTCCTCAGAGGAATTGGAGTGGAACAATTTTTTGTAAGTCTCTAAGGTGCCGCAGGACTACTCGTTTTTAAAGTTATGGGCTAACATGGCCGCCCCGAGACTTTTTAGCCTCCTCTTGGTTAAGCTGTGAGATCTGATTAAGCAACAGCAGTGACCAGTGGAAGGCACAGAAGGGAAGTGACTTTTCCAAGGCACCCGCGCAACGTACGTGGCCTTAAACCCGTGCAAATCGTGTCCACAGCAGGGTTTTGCGCTGGGGCAGCTGTGCTGCTGGCTAAAACCGCCGAGGTGAGTCGGGTGACACCCAGAAGTCCCTGGGGAGGTTTGATTTTCTCCGTCTCCGCTAGCATCTGACTGACTGTGCCCCTCTTCCCGAACAGGAGTCACCTGCAGCCCCCTTCCTCCTATGGACCAGTCCTCTCGCCAATCAACAAAGTGCACGGAGGAGGGATCAACAAACTGCCGTCTGTCAACCAGCTGGTGGGGCAGCCCCCGCAGCACAGCTCCAGCTCCGGGCCCAACCTAGGCCCCATGGGTAAGGGATCGGCCCTGCCCCTGGACGTGGGCTAAGCCACCACACAGGGCCGGCAGTTCAACACTATGGAATGCAATGCAC